GTTTCCTGTAATCGGAAGCGGACAGTCATTTATTAGCTGAAATTTATGTATTTTATTCATTTATTTTAATTAATTTATGTTTGTTTAAAAGAAACCTCTATCACATCTTTCTTTATAACTGGATAAACATCAAACAAAAGCATAGGATATTAAATTTCTTTATCTATTTTTTAAATTGTAAAAATTATAATTTTGTTAAGTTTAAATAAATATTGAAATAAATATATATTATAGATTAATGAATTATTTCTATTGGGTTGTTCGGAAAGTAAGTTCGTTTTTTGGGGGGGAGAATGAAAGATAATTTTCGTAGAATGAATAAATATTTTAGTAAATTATATATTGGCCATTCTGGTCCAACACCTTTTGCCATCTTTCTGGTAGTAGCATGATTCCCCCCTCATAAAATTTTTGGTTTTTGCTGACTTAAAACTGATCCAGGTGATTTTTGACCTCTTCACTTGAAGTAAAGGTTTTACAGTCCAAAAAATTTAGCAGTGACCGAAATAAATAATAATCCCAAGAAGCCAGAATATGGTGGGTGTGGCAGTATATCCCATTCAAGATATAAAAGCTTTTGGCGATAACATCTATAACACTATAACTTTTCTGTTGATTAATTCTGTCGAAGTGCATCATTCAGTTTGTTCAGCTGACGACAGTAGACTTCCGAATTAATTGTTGTGCCAACAAACAGACAGCATCACCTTTTTTTGATGGATATTGACTTTTGAAATACTTTGAGCCGGTATATCTTTTTCGCTCCATGATCTCTTGCGTTTAACATAGTTATAGACAATCCATTTTATGTCCCCAGTAATGATGCGATTAAAAAATTGATCCTTTTTGTGACGTTAGAGAAGTGAATCATAGACGTCAACGCGACAACACAAATTTCTCTCTGTGTGAACATAGGAAACCCATATATCAAGCTTCGAAGTTAAACCCAGGCCTTTCATGTGGTCATAAACAGTTGAATTCGGTAAATTTAACCTCTCACCGATCTCACATGTTGTTGTTCAATGATTTGCATCAACTAATGCCTTTATCAGTATCTTAATGCCATCACCGATCTCACGTGTTGTTATTCAACGATTTGCATCAACTAATGCCTTTATCAGTTTCAACCGGTCTTCCAGAATGTGGTGCATCTTCGACATCAAAATTGCCGGATCGAAATTTTGCAAACCAGTTCGAGCACTGGCGTACTGTCAACACATCTTCTCCATACACATTGGTTGATCTTTTCTATAGTAAAAAAGTAAAATATGACGAGAATGCTGCTTATTGCTCTCCATATTTAAAAGGGCACCAACTAAAAACTACTGTGTAGAATTAATTGAACTTTTTCACACACAAGCCTTGCTATATCAGCTCTCAAAACATATAATGAGAATGAGGCTTACCTATGAAGTTGGGTTAGAAAAATATAATTAGATCCTCTGTCGGAAAATCGAAATTACTTTCCAAACAACCTGATATATCTTCACAATTATTCTAAAAACAATTTATGGTGTAAGCCTTAATTAGTATACCCTTCCAGTAAACGGAAAATGGTTTCTTCAGAAAGAACCAAGGTTTCAATATAAATATTCAATCCCACTTAACCAAAGTTTCAACATGTGAATGAACTAGTGACAGAATTTAATTAATTTATAACTCTGTCTATATGTCTGAACAAGATAGCAAAACTTTACTGAGTGATAAAATGCATTTACACGAGCAATATTCATCATAGAAAGTAGGGGCGTTGCAAATGTTCTAAGAAGGCCAGTCCTCGCATCCAGCGGGCATATCTAACATGGATTGCTGAGATGATGGCTGGTTATACAAATCCTAAGAAGGCACTCTTGGTGAACAGTTTAGCAGGTGGGAATGTGAGTAGGGCACAGACAGATGAGTGTATTTTCACCCATAAGAGCATCTAATGCATCCTTTCCAGCAGCAGTTCTCTGTACATGTTTGGGCAAGGATCTATCATGACCATTTGATTGACCCATACCTCTTACCACACTCCCTGGAAGCAGAATTGTATCACACTTTCATACGAGAGACAATTTTAACCCTCATCAGGTTGAGGATGTGAATGTTGTTCCTATCATATCAATTAATCATATTCCCGTGAATAAAAACTTTTCTAAAGCATCTTTTCCCATTCTTGTGTAATTTTTTAAACGTGATAGCAGAAACTACCTTTTAAATTCTCACTGCTTGTGTTCCAATTATACATTCTATGTTGAATATTGCTCCGGTTGATGCGTTCTACCACCCAGTAAAGTTTTGCCATCTTGATCAGACTCATCCTGCATACAAACCTGCTTATTTTATTTATTAATTATTTATTAAAAGGATTATTTGTATAGTTTTTTCATAATACAAGATTGCTGAAACAAGGTAACAGAAATTTTCTAAAACTTTACAGTTTAAGTGTCACATCAAGAATAGTAAATAATACATCATATACATGAAACGAATCTAATAATGAAAATATTTCATTGTGGTTGAAATGATAAATCTCATTTTTAAATATCTTCAGGACTAGTATATATGTAATATATTTTACATCTTTATTTTCACTAAAAAAGCTATATCAGTAATCAGACTTAGATCAAATGAAAAACTTTAACCTTTAAGCTTTTTTAAAAATGAAACGAACATAAAATCTCAATTAAATGTGCACCCATTATTAACTCTTGTAATTAGTTTCAACCCTTTCGTCATCACCTAATTTTGGCAAAATTCGTTAAATAAATTGTGGCTTTGTTCTAAAAGTGTTTAATTTTTATGGAACTTTACACTGATTCATACAAAAAGGACGAGTTTGGTAAAAAAACAAAAAACCTGGAATCTAAAATTGTTATGCACAAAACACTTATTGAATAATTAAAAAAAATACCTGAAATTTGAGCAGACAAAAGTGTATGTAGGAAGTATTTATCCACAGAATGTAATCAAAGTTTTCAAAAAAATATCAATACAAGATTTTGTTTATTTATCTAAATTGTGTGAATATGAATCTCAATGTGTGGTTTTTAAATCACACAAATACGAATCTCGACATTTAATTTTAAAAAAAAAATTGCACAATATGAGTTTTGATATTTAATTTCAAAATTGCGAGAATACGAATATTGATGTTTTATTTTAAGATCACATGAATACAAATTCCGACACATAATTTTTAAGTCACTTGAATTTGATTTATAATAGTGGCTTTTAAATCGCAAGTATATAAAACACAATATTTGATATAAAATTGTGAAAATTTGAAGCACAATGCTCGATCTTAAAATGTATAAATAGGATGTGTGATTTTAAATCTTGTAAATGTAATTTTAAATCACGTTTGCATTGGTAGGAAAAGGCTAAAAACAAATTTTTTTCCTCGGAAATTAAAAAAAACAAAATTTTTTTGAAGAGGCTGTTTTTTTTCCTTTTAAGTAATAATAAAAAATTTTCCTCAATGGAGACAAATTTTCTGCAAATAGCATTTAAGAGTTCATCTATATTATACAGATCTGTATTATTAATAATAACTGAAACATTTTCTATATTAGAAAATTCCATTTTGAAAACACAGATTTGATTTCAGTCACAGATTTCATTTTAAAACTCCCATTTTTCAACTTAGATTTTAAAAAAATCTGACTTTTCACTTCAATATATTAAACAATAGATTAGTGAAAATTTAAAATTTATTCAATTCTTTCCAGCACTCATCAGTCAAAAGAGGCCAAATAAAAATAAAAAATCTCAATGCAATTAATAACACCAGAGTTTTCTAATTAATTGTGGTAATGGTATTTCTGGTACAATCTTCATAAAAAATAGATGTTGCCGTGACAAATACCAAACTGGTATTGTAGTCACATAATTTTTTTTTACTGCCCTTTCTAATAAATACCTATTTTCCAAAACAAATTACAACTCTAACAATTTTATTTAGGATTCTTACCTATCATCTTCAGTTAGATTGGGTGTAAATTTTTGCCTTTTCTCAAAGGGTAATTTTTCAGGAACAGCCTGAACTTCACCCACTGATGCAGTAGAGTAATCTTGACCCACATATTTACCCCTTCGAGGAATGCACACGACTTTCAAGAAACAACCTATGTCATCTGAACAAGTTGTATAAATAAATCCCTCACTAACTTTTAACCAAATTCGATCTTCTTCTATAATTAAATCACCTGAGCCATGGATATTTAATAGGTCATTGAATTTGTCTTTAGATTGAGAGCGATACCAAATAAAACAGCAGTCCTCTAAATTAGCACATTCCAGTCTAAACCTAGGTCTTATACTACACCCAGATAATATGTATTCGGGTAGATTCAAACTGATAACAGATGGGAAATTAAATTTTACATCAAAACTAAGTTCACCTATCTTCAGTTGTGTGGCCTGAGCCCAAGCTTCCATGTTTAATGTTTTTTCATCCATAAATGTATTATTTTGAATCAAATTTACATCAAAGTCCTCTTCTGCTTCTTCAACAGCAACTTGAACATTTGAATATTTGTTCATAACAACTTGCCGCATTTCTTCTTTTTTGCGCTGTAAATTCACCATCAGTTTAATTCGAGACAGAAGGCTTTGACAACTTTCTTCTTTCGGTGCTTTTACATTCAGATATGAAGATCGTGGCATTTTAAACGAAACTTTAATATTGCTGTCATCGTCTAAGCATAAAACTTTGACGATCGGCAAGTTTCGAGAATGAGAACTATTATACCTTAATACATTTAGCATTAATTTAAATGCTTTGCTCCTAAGATTCATTTTATAAAGTCAGAATTCAAGAGTCTTTACAAACAAACAATTTATTGCAAATATTTTAACTTTATATTTCATACAGAAAGTACTAAACCAAAACTATTAATAGTGATAACTTTCAATGGCGAACAACGAAATAGCATCTTTGCGATTTTTTAAGCTCAAAATCAAAGCACGAGTTTTTAATTTCATACAAGAATGATATAAACATTACGGCGATTACACATTTTCTTTAATTTTTGCCTAAATAGGAACTTGCAGCCGCTTCCGACTGCTGCTTTCTACAAGTTTGAAGACGTTATTTCAAATTTCACTAAAATATCTGAACTTTTTTTTTGTCGAAATTTTGCTACTTTTCTTTCTAACTCAAGGAAAAAATAAAGTATAAAACTATTTCAATAACGAGTGAGTTACGAAGGAAGCAAGTTTTACATACGATATTGTTTAAAAGAAAATAAACAATGCAGCCTTATTGTTGGAAGCAAGCTTTTCATTTCAAAATCCAATTGATGAATTGATGCTTTATTTATGTTTGATTTTCAGCCTGTTTGTTTGATTGTCACATGGACCTATTTGATGATAATGACTTATTTCTCTTGTGAATAATTAAAAAAAATCTTTGCATTTTGTTATTAAAACTATAAATTTTATAAAATTTTTATCGCAATGAATTTCGTTCCTTGTTTGACCTGGGTTGCAAAGGGAATTGCTAAGTCAGTTCCAGATAAGGTTGGTTTTCCTAACTTTTTTGAAATGTTTCAGTTTTAAGAACGTCAATTATTATTATTTTTTTAAAATTATTTTCTTCTATTCTAGCTTCAATTGTCTCCTGAAGAACTGAAAAGTCTTATAAGTGATACTAAAGAACTGCAGAGGTATATACTTAATTAACGTTTTGTCAACAAATAATTCTATTACTATAAGAATTTATATTTATAATATATATGTATATATTTCTATTAGTATATTTTATATCTATAAGAGAGAAACAAAGTAGTTTCAGTTCATGTAAATTATTCTGCTTCAGATCAATATCTNTCATAAAAGCGAACCCTGGTTGAAAGAATGTGAGTAATTTTTTCACAATTTCACGAAAAACGGACCTTTCACAAAATGTCTGGACAGACCCCTGTGTATATATTTCTCACAGTATATTTTGTTTCTATAAGAGAGAAAAGTAGTAGTTTCCGTTCATGTAAATTATTCTGCTTCAGATCAATATCTAAATGGGGGAAGTGACCAAAAATTATGATGGCATGTCTTTAGATCATCCCCAGGGATGTTTCCACACCGTCACCAATAGCCCATTGTGCATCTAGTGCGACGTAAATAAAGTACCTGCTTACCTAAATTTTATAGTTTGTGAAAAAAATTGTTTGACAGGTTTGAATAATTACAGCAGTTTATACATTTATTACCTCTGTTTATGGCAGGGAAAAGCAGGCATTCATAGGTAAACCGTGTCCTTTGCTGCACTAAAAGAAAACCAGTTAGAGAACTGTAAACTGAAGTAGTGTTGATATTTGGTGATTAGGCTTTCAATTTCTCCAGATAATAAAGTATAAATTCTCAAGTTATCACTTCTTGACTCGCTTGATTAACAACAATTTTGTCATTAATCCATACCAAATTTATCGCTTTGTATAATTTTGAACCTTATTTTCAACAATATATATAGTAAAAAACAAATGGTCCTGTTTAAGATATAATTCAATGTTTAAAATGTCATTAAATTAGCAGATTAAAAGTAGCAATCTAATTTATATTATGCCCTAATTTTAATTCCCTTAATGCAATTTATGAATCATATTTCATAAACTGTTGATTTTAAAAGTATAGAAATACCTCATGAATAGTATTAAGTAAAATTTAAATCAGTACTTATACATTAACTTAGTACAAAAAAGAAGAAAAAAATTCTTGCACCAAATTATATTTAAAATATCAATAAAAAAGATTGTTACAACTAAATTATATAATTTTAACTTGATAGTAACCTTTTAAGCGTTAATATTTTTGATAGATAGGTTTATTTAAAAAAAAAAGTTTATACAAGCATTAAAAAGGACTATACAATTTTCCAACTGTTTACTGGCAATGAGACAAGCAGTCACTTTTTCCTATAAGATTGCAATTTTTATGATGCTATAGATGATGTAGCAATCTTCATTTGAAGAAAAAAAAAGTTTTTTATTTTTTGTTTTGCTAACTCATTATTGGCAAGAAGATACACTGAAAATTTTCATGTTTACCTTTCGTTCCCAGAATTTAGTTATTGTGATACTATTTTTTGGGAGCAGTTGAAAATTCAACAGGCTATTATGGAACCATTGTTGCTTAGTTATTTGTGGTAATAGATACTTTTGGCATTGTTATGTAATAGGATGCTAATATAGTTACTGTGGTATTAGGTTTTTCATGGCCCCCAAAAGGGAATAGTATTGTTTTTCTTTTCATGCTATGTTGGTCATCTATAAGTAATTCAGTAAAAGCTTGCTGTATTACCCCTCATTTTAATTTGTGGTGTTGCTCTGTATATTTGTTAAAAACAAAGAATATCTAGGAACTAAGACTCTTGTATGTTTGAGAACTTAGAAAAACTCATAGATTTTTTTTCTTCTAGAAATTGATTAGGAATCCTATATCGAGCTGGGTAACATTTTGAAATAAAATGCCATGCTACACTCAAAATAAACTTTAAATCATAATTTTATTTAATGCAACATAGTTGTTTATTTTCTGTCAATTTCTTTCATAGTTTGTGTAATTGTTACTTTAAATAGCTTAGTTATCATAGTCTAATTTATTCATTTTGTACTATTAATATTATATCTAGAAAAGTTGAAGATGATGATGCTTCTGAGTCTGATGCTACTTGTGATGAACATGAAGACATTGCTGAAGAAACTGAGACTTTAAATGATGAAGAGGACAAAGTTGAAAAAGAGGAGGAGGACTTTGACAAAAGATATAATTTAGATTCATATGATAATGATGGTATAAATAAATGTATTTAATATATTAGTGTTATTGTTTTAAAATTTTATGAAAAAATTTTTAATTGTTGAAAAAATTATGGCATAAATAATTGTTGAAAAAATTAAATTATTTTTTTATATTACATTTTATATGAATAAATATTTTATTCAATTTACATCTTAGTTCAGAAGACAGAAATATCAATATATATGTATATATGTTATTACTCTTTGTCTCTTTCTTCATTTGTTGATAATTTTCTAAACAAAAGTTATTGATTTAACATATTTGTTTAACTTATGACTATATAAGTACTTCATTTTTTTCATTATTTAAAATGTCTTCTATTTCTTACTTTTTTGGTATTTAACCGCTTCCTTCTCACTCCCATCGAAATGAAGGGGTAAAGTTTTGCCCTCTATCTCTTATACCTGTGATTTTCTTTTTTTTTTTTGGACTGGATTATTCAAAAGTAACACACCTAAAAGATTAAAACAATCTATTTCTTATACTTAAAATTATGTTTGTTTCTCAATCTATATGCCAGGTGGCCGTACTAGACTATTTGTGATGTATATAGAAATCGTCAGTATATTTTAAACTAGATGCAGTCATTTATCAAACATGTACATGCACTTACAAAATTTCCACTGTTCGTCAGTTCTGCATTCCCTTCAAAGTCCTTGAGGTGAACTGCTTAGTTTTTATTTTGATAATTAAGAGCCCTTAAAAATACTTTATTTTGGCTCAAGGTTTCTAAAATTCCTTAATTCCTAGTATTACTAGATTTCCATTGACTTCATTTGCAACTGATGAATTTAAGAAAAAGCAAGCAAAAATAAATAATAAAAAAAGAGAGAGAGGCATTAGACAAAGATGTGTTAGACCTAAAAAAGGGACTGTTAATGGTCTTTTTTAAGAAAGTTGCAGTCATTAATGGAAAAGTATCCAATTTCATATTCTACTGTTAAAATTGCCTCTTACTTTTGACCCAAACGAAATAGTATTTCAAACAGTGAAATATCAAAAATCCCTTATATGCATTTTATTATATTTAATGGATAAAAGTCTAAAGCCTTCTAAGTATGGAAATGAAAATTTAAAACAAAATGGTAAAATGTTCCTTTTCTGATTTCAAAACCTCTAATCATAAAGAACAAAGATTGGATATGTTTCTTATCAATATTTTTCTGGCAACAAAGAAAAATATAGAAAACCTTAGAGCATTGTCGAAATGATGCTAATTTTATCTCATGGCCAGGTTGCTGTGGGAAGAGGATTTTCTACAAATAAAGCTCGGGAAATAGAAAATTTTAAAGAAAACTACATTGCTCAAAGACTTACTATGGAAGCTATTAAGAAAGTAGAGGGTGTATTTAGTAACAATAATGGATATGAAACACCATGGATATGAAACACCATGGATATGAAACATTCAGTTCAATGTGCACAACAAAAATATTTAGATTTTCTTTAATGTCAGAAGAAGGAAAGTGGAAGAACAGTCAAATAATGAAAGAAGACAATTGGTTGAGAAAAATTATACATTTGTCTTTTGCTACTTTTACTGATGAATTGGATGAAAAAACCTTCCATTCTTTTAAAAATTAAATGCCTTAGGAAAAGAAAAAATCGAAATTTTTTTTTTAACTAGAGTCTGTAGCAGAAACTATTTTTTTAAAAAATGTGAATAAATAAATAAGTGTGTATGATATTTCAATGTGTGCTAAATAATTGTAAATTTTTAAAAAGTAGCACTTTTTTAAAAAAAATTCCCAATTGTGCTAAGAAGTAGGCATAGTTCTGTTATAATTACAATTGTTTAATTAGTACTTGAAATACAGTAAAGATAATTTTTTTATTATTATTATTAGAAAGGTAAGTAATACTGTTACTGGATATATGTATATTTGATTAAAAATTATACTATTTTTAAGATCATCATTATTATTATTAAAAAAAAAAAAAGTCACTCATTTTTGCTTTGATAACAGAATACGAGGGTTGCTATTTATATTTCTGGTCTTGGCAACAGTAAGTGTTGCTAGGCGACCGCAGATGATTTTAATCAAAAGTTTGATATTTTTAAACATAAATTCAGCAGACGATTTACCATTATAGCTTCATTTGTGTTGTTGACAGTAAATTGAAAAGTTCTTCTCTTTCAAAAAATGGAATTGAATCGTGAACATTTTCGTGCCATTATTTTTCATAACTTTCGACGTGGATTGTCAAGACAAGAGTGCTTCGATGAACTTAATTCTTTATTCAGCGATAAAGCGCCATCCTACAGCACTGTAAAAAATTGGTATAACGAATTTAATCGTGGTCGATGTTCGATCCAGGACGAATCCCGTGCAGGTCGTCCAAAATCCGTTGTTGTGCCAGAAAAGATCGATGCTGTGCGTGAACTGATAAAGCAAGATCGTCATGTGACATACCGTGAGATAGAGGCGTCTTTGGACATTAGTATGACTAGCATCAATAAAATATTGCATGAACATTTGAGCGTAAAAAAAATTTGTTCGCGTTGGATCCCGCATAATCTGACAAACGCTCAAAAAAAGGCTCGTGTCGATTGGTGCAAGGAAATGTTGGAAAAATACGTTCAAGGTACATCAAAGGCTGTGTATAACATCTACACAGGTGACGAATCATGGATCTATGCATATGAGCCGGAAACAAAACAGCAATCAACTGTATGGGTCTTCCAAGACGAGGCAAAACCAACAAAAGTTGTTCGAGGAAGAAGCACATCGAAACAAATGATTGCCTGTTTCTTCGGCATTAACGGTCATGTGGCAACAGTGGCGTTAGAGCAACGCAGGACGGTCAATTCTGAATGGTACACGACCATTTGTTTGCCAGAAGTCATCGGAGAAATTCGAAAAAAGCAGAAGAACAGGCGAATCATTCTTCATCATGACAATGCGAGCTCTCACACATCGACTCAAACAAAGGCATTTCTGACGGAGCGAAAGATCGAACTGATGGGTCATCCGCCGTACAGCCCTGATTTGGCACCCAATGACTTCTTCTTATTCCCACACATCAAAAATAAATTACGTGGACAACGATTTTCGACATCTGAAGAAGCGGTTGATGCATTCAAAACGCATGTTTTGGAGTTACCTCAATCGGACTGGAAAAAGTGCTTTGAAAATTGGTTCAAACGCATGCAGAAGTGTATTTATCATCATGGAGAATATTTTGAAAAACAATAAAACCAATTTCAATCCTACATATTTGATTTTCATTATTAGGCCAGAAATATAAATAGCAACCCTCGTAGGTAGCCTGGCTTAGTTTTTTATAATTTTCTGAATGTAAAATATAGACACTTTTCAGACCGTTTTCTTTAAAATCATGTGACCATTAAAGGATTAAATTGCAATTGAAAATAATACTCAATTAGCAGTAAATAAATAAACAATTGGTGAGGAATAAGCTTCTTTCCCTCAAATGAGCTTTGCTCATTAATGTTAAATTATTAAAGATATACTTTTCATAATATTATTATCCAATACCTATAGTAATACTATTATACTATACTTATAGTAATAGTAATATTATCATACAGTACTTATATAATTACTTTATAAGTCTTTATTTGTCATATTTGTATTCATGACAGACATTATAACTGAATATTTAAAAAAAAAATTATGAAAAGCATGGCAATGCAAATTTGTCTTCATATTTTAAGATATTGATGAGTTTTATTTGATGATCGGAAATTGAAAGCTTTTCTTTTATCGAAATTAGTTGTCTGTCATAATTTAAAATTTGTAAGCTTAGAAATTTGATCAAAAAATAGTTCTTTTAATTTGCTGGCATATCCCTGGTCAAAATGGTGTCTTATAATTGAGATTCAAATGTAAAGTAAGGACACAGATGTTAATTATTTGTTGTACAAGTTCTAAAACTTATTTTGAAACTTAAGAAGCTACTTTGTTATTGTTTCAGGAGAAGATCAGCCATTTATGAATATTTCTGATGTTGCGACATTTATTGACAACAAAGAAGACACTTATATAACAGATCATGATGCTGTGAGTTGTTAAATTGATAATTGAAAAATAATAAAAGGAACTTTAATATGAAATACATACTATTTGAAGAATGTCTCTGTTAAATTCGTAGGAAATAGAATATTAAGATCATATATTTTTTATGATAAATATGTTAAAATTTTATAAAAATTGAAATAAAAGTTAAATTGATAAAAATGAGGAATCTATGAACAATTGAAGTGTTACACTTGGTGTTTTTTATCCTTCTCGCATGTTTAATTTTTAAGCATATCTTTTTTTTTCGTGTTTTTATATTGCATTTTAATTGCAAACATATTTATCTATATTTAATATTAAGGTTGAAGAAGATGAAAATGATGATGAAGAGGATTTCATTATAAAAGACAGTGATAATTTGCTCCTTGTTGGACACATTGAAGAGGAAAGCTCTGTTCTAGAAGTTCATGGTACTTTATTATCTGATTTTTACTATTTATACTTTTCTAGAAACGTGTACATTTTTGTTTTAATCTGAAAAGAAAATATTTTATTTGCTGTTAAACATATTGAAGACTAAAGGTATATTTTATGTTACTTAATTTATTGACTTTTGGTGTTACTTCATTTATTGTACCAAAATGTCAGTCATCATATAAAAGCTGTCTTCGTGTAATGTAATTCCATGAGGCTATAAAAATTCCTGCAAAATAATTTCAAATGCGAATAATAGAATTGGCAAGATTTAAATCACTTGATTTTTTTTAACCACTGATTTAAGTTAGTTTTTTTATGCAGCATAATTTATTGCTGAAAGTTTCTTTTTTTCTTCTTCCCCTTATGTATGATTTTAGTGATAATGAAGGCTTTATTCAAGGAAGTTAAGAGAGGAGGTTATCTATAAATTATTTGATTTTCAAAACTAATCTAGTAAATAAAAGAGAAAGAGGTTTAATGTGAATAAAAATAGCATGAAACTTAAAAATTATGATTTTTCATTGGTTGTATGTCAAATATTTGTTGTTTAATAATCATTTTTTAATTAGTTTTTGTTTATTAAAATACAAGTCCTTTTAAATTTTTTTAAAAAAGTGTATTTATTGTACATAAATAGAGATAGACTTGTAATTTATTGTTTGTAATTGATTGAAATTTTTTAATGTTTTCTCGATTAAATTAATTTATTCTTCATTTGATATCTATAATGGACAAATTTTTCTCTCTGCCTTATTAATTCATAAAGTTGTTCAGCTTGAATGAAAATAACTGTGTAGTAATTTTTCCAATAATTAGTTTTTAATAAATAAATAATCTTTATTAAATATATTTATACTTTAATCATATTATAATGTTGCTAATGCTATTTATCTCAGCTTTGAATGGCAGATTTTAAAAAAAATCATGAAAATCCAATTTAAATAAGAAATATCCATTTTTTTTATTTAATAAAATATCATTTTTACCTCTTTTCTCCTTAAAAAGGCAAAAACTCTCTGCAAGAACAGATATCTAATATAATTTTTGTTCTTTTGAGTAACAAAAATCTTACTTTAATGTAAAAATAGTAATACTATTCTTGTAATGTCGAGTTAATAATAGAAATGAAAAGCTTGCATGATATTTATCAATAGGATACCTTTTTATTACCGTGTGGCAGAATCGCGGTGACATGGCGACATAGTCGCAGAACATTACAGAGTTCTTACAGAAGGATTTTTTTGGGGGGGAAGAACAAAATTTTGGTTTTCTTTGCTGCAGAAAATAATCCCTTTGTGTCACTTTCAATTTACGGAGATAGTATCATAAATCCATGTAGTGTTTCGATGGTAGTTATTGATTTTCACATGTTTTTTAACTATCCTGATTTTAACTGACAATGTGGGAAATTCGAATCATGCATTCGAGTATTTACTTACTAAGGCAACGATTCTATCTTTTTTTGTGGCAAATATTGCTCTTGATTTCCATATAGTTTTTAAAATACGATATTTATTACAACAATTAAATCTTGAAGCGAAACACACATTTGAGTAACCCCTTTTTGAAGAGTCCGATTCGCTTGATTTCATCGTCGAGCTGTTTTTCGGTATTGTTTGTTTGGATTGTTTATGTTATTGATATATAGATTTTAAAATTTTTTTTCTTAAATTTGAAAATGCGATAAAGGAAATAATTAGTGTGTTTTTCTCCCCAACAAAATGCAAGAATATTGCCCATAATATTAGAATAAAAAAATATTGCATAAATTCAATGAAAATACAGTCAAACTTGGATAATTCGAACGTCTTAGGCAAGCTCCAGATGGTTAGATGGGTTTAAAGAAAGAAATGCAATTTCTTTCAAGTCTGTGTGTGGGGAAAGCTCAAGTGTGAACCAAGGTGCAGCAAATGAATGGAAAAAAAAAGTTGCCGAAATTATTGAGTATACACAGGACAGAGACATTTTTAATGTCGATGAGACAGGACTTTTTTTCAAATGTACCCCTGCAAACACTCTTACTTTTAAAGGTGAAAAATGTAGTGGTGGAAAGCATAGTAAAGATAGAATCACCTTACTTGTAGGATCAAACATGGATGGCACAGAGAAATTACCATTACTAATGATAGGAAAATCTCGAAGTCCAAGGTGTTTCAAAAATGTCAAATCAAAGCCTATAGAATACCTTTCTAACACAAAAGCATGGATGACGGCGCATATTTTTGAAGAATGGCTACTTGATCTAAATCGCACATACCAAAGAAAAAACAGAAAAATCATCCTGTTTATTGATAACTGCACTGCTCATAAATCGATACCCACTATGGAAAATATCACGGTTGTTTTTTTCCCGCCAAACATGACATCAGTGGTGCAACCAATGGACCAAGGCATCATTAAAAATCTAAAGCATTTTTACAGATGTCTAGTCGTTCAACACCTCCTTACTGAATCTTCCCAAAAGCTTCCCATTACTCTCCTCGATGCTTCAAGAATGTGTTTAAATGCATGGTCCAAAGTCAGCCAAAAAACAATACCAAATTGTTTTCGGAAGGCAGGATTCATCAGGAACACAGTCCCGAGCGAACTTTTTAATGAAGAAAATTTACCTCTCCCAGTTGCATGGGAAGACAACATTCCGTTCGATGATTACGTCAGTATGGATGAAAATATAGACATTTGTGAAGAATTATCGGATAAAGATATTCTATCTGAAGTTCTAAACAATAAGAATATTACAACAGAAGACGAAGAAGATATTGAAGATGAGGTAGAAGAACAGAGGCCAATTCCAACTTCAAGTGAGGTGGTCGTTCATTTATCAGAATATCGACGCTATGCAGAAGGACAATCTGACGTAAGTGAAGCTGTGTTTAGAGCTATAAATATTCTTGAAGATTTTGTTAGAAAAAATCAAGCAAGCTCTTTAAAGCAATCTGATATAGCTAAATATTTTAAAAAATTGTAATGTTTAAATTTAAAATTAATAAACAATCCTTGTTTCGCAATTTCCGTTACGAGTAATTATTTTAAGACATAAAAATAACATTGTTTGGATAATTCGAAGTTTCGCAGAGACCCCTTGCCCTTCGAATTATCCAAGTTCGACTGAAATTACATGTTATTTTTTGTTAGCACAGCGTTTTTATTACTTCAAATTAGTAACATTCATATCTTTTATTATTGAAAGTATCTTGCAGAAAGATATTAGTGCTAGAGAGTGTTGTCACAGAAAGCCCGAAAAAATTCTGCCACAGGGAAGATATAATCTGACTAAATTATCTGCACTAAGTTTTTCATGGTTACTTTATACATGGTTATATTAAAATCAATATTCATTTTATTGTAAAATAGACGCATTTTTTATTTTGTTGTATTAAATTAAATTTACCTCAAAGAAATTAATTTCCACATTTCACGTTTTAAAAACTTTTTTAGTGTATAATAAAGAGGAAGATGCGTTCTATGTTCATCATGATATTGTTTTGCCAGCTTATCCATTGGCCTTAGAATGGTTAGATTTCAGTCCATCAGATGAAGAAAAAGGTATGACTACTCATATTTTTCAGTCTTTTTTTTTATAAATCTTCATAATTATTATATTTTGATTATTTCAGCCTTATATTTGAAGCAAAATTATTTTTATTGCGAATGCACTTATCATATCATTTATACAGTTATTACTGGGCTCTTATACTTCATTAAAACTCTTGCAGTTTACAAAATTTAAATATGGTTTATAAATTCAGTAAGAGTAAGGTTTATGTAGTTTTAGTGTAATGTACAGTGCTTCCTTAATATTATAGCTTATCAAATACGTCTAAAATCTAAAACAGGATGCAAAAATAAAACTCTTGTCCCCTGAGATACATAGTTTCCTGAGCAAAAAAAAAATATGGGGCTGGCTCAGAATTTTTCTAGTTAAGGCACAAAGTTAATAAAATTTCTAAAAGAAAGGAAAAAATTTTCACTTCTGCATTAATGTTAGAAGGATAAAATATAAGTCGTGGTGTGTCTGGAAAGTAAGTCCCGTTTTGGAAAAAATCCTATAAAAAACGTTTTTTCAAAATAAAAAATTTTTTTACGTGAAAGAGCATTTCTGAAACTAATTTTCTACAACATTGTTCAGATTTGCCATTATGGGAAATCAACTCTTCTATACCCTCTTCAAAGAAAAATAAAACTGGTAGAGGAAACAGCCATTGTTGAACATCCCTCTTTTTTTTTTTTTTTTTTTTTTTTTTTTTTGTAAGTAGCGTGTNAGTTTCGTTAGCGAGATCAGCAATTTTTTTTAAACATTTTGAAGTTCACTAACATATCTAAATCCAACAAATCAGTCTTTTGTTGTTTCATTTATCGAAGGATGGAGTAGCTTTAAATGTGCTTATTATTAATATTAGGTGGATAGAGAATTTATTGTTTGCTAAATTCCACAGATCATTTTTTTAAGAAACCTCAGACTTCTTTTCCTTCTATGTTTGGATTTTCAAAACATATTTTAGGTTATAAATTTATTTCATTTCAGATGTAGCTTTGTATTTTAGTAAGATTTAGACGAATTTAAACTTTAGCTTTGAATAAAAATATCTTTAAAAATTTAAAACTTATAATATTTACCTTTCATGTGTATCTTTAAGATGAGAATTTATACTGTTTTTAATTACGACCCACGTTTAAAAAAAAAGACCCAAAAATTTGCCCTGAGGAATTGTAGTTTCCAAAATCTAGCCAAATCACTAAGCGTAAAATTTTTTCCAGATCTTGCTGTGTCAAATTTCTAAATATATCAACATTGGAAATCGTTAAAACCACTTTTTAAAGTCTTTTTAACCAAATAATTGCCTGTAATGCACCTCAGGAGGTTTATGTTTTTATTCTTCCACACTTGTGTGATCTTTGGTCCTCCCCCCCCCTTCTTCTAATATGTATATTTGCATCAAATATAATTTCCTGCACTGTTACTTAGTAATGAGTAAATTTTTTGTCAAAGAGTTTCTTAATTTCCACTATAAAGGTCATAATGTAGGTTAAAATTGGCTACTTTAACACATTTGAAACTTTCCCTATATTGCACTGAAGTAAAGTAACATAAAAATGGTTTGAAATTTTTAATGTATTTTATAACTTCTTGTTGTAAAATCAGTTTCTATGAGCATTGTTTTATTATTTTGCATTTTATGATTATTTCAGTAATTCAAAAATTTATTTTCTCATTTTCTTGTATTTTCTTATATAGTGAATTGCATCGGATAATAAATATTTTGTTCATTTCTAGTTCAGTGGACTTTGAAGTCTAGATTTAAAGATGATTAAAACAAAACTTATAATTTAACTAATACTGATTAATTAAGACTTATTTATTTGATTTAAAGAGGCATGTCCATTGTATTAAGCATTGACTACCATAACTCATTACTTTAGGTAACTATGTTGCTGTTGCTGACATGACACCAGTCATCAAAATTTGGGACTTAGATGTTGTGGAGATTTTAGAACCAGATTATTGTTTAGGCAAAGAGCTGAAGGAAAATAAGATGGAGGTATTGTCTCTCAAATAATACTAATTTTGTATAGCGAATTTAATTCAACGTAAAAAGATGTGGATGTTAATGAACAAAATTCAGCAAATAAATCTGAATTTGTATAAATCTAATTTAATTTCTGAATTTATGATTTTTACTTCACGAGAATCATGAAATTAGAACACTTTGTTCTTCTATTAGAAAAATATTACGATTTTCAATTATAGTTATTGGAATCTTGAATAATTTTGCAATTTTAGATTTTGATGTTATTCTTCTATCCACTTCTTTAAAAAATTTTAATTTCGGCTCTTAAGAAAAAACCTTTGAAAAGAAATTTTGAAAGGTTATGGTTATCAGGTAAATCTAATTTCTAAATGATTTTGCAACATACACTTCAAATTTTCAATAATGGTCAGTAATCCATATTTCGCAATTCTTTTCTCCATAGATTATGCCTAGGACCCCTAGGTTGGGAATAGGTGGTCCTGTCATTCTTTTTTTCATTCAAAGAGAATTAAAGGTGTTTCATATTTGTTGACAGCAGCATCAAAAGAAATAGTGGTTTGAAGAGTTTTCTCGAGTCTTTTGTTATTGGTTGACTCTTTGTTGATAAAAATATGCTTTTTTTAAAAGCGTAAAAATCTCTAACGCGTGTTTTTGTAGAGTTTTTCAGAGAATAAAATTTTTAAAAAATGTAAAAAAAATTTCAGTCACTATATTGGAATGAATGGCACGGTTCATACGTTTTAATGAACGTTAAAATAATATTGCATCCATGGATCAATAAACAGGACTTTACATAGCAGTTATTATAATGGAAGGATTGCACTAATTGGGGGCAAATGTAGACTGTATTATGATTTGGTGTGATTTATACTATGGTAATCTTAATTTTTTTCCTTGTCGTTAAAAAAAAATTTTTTTTTGAAACTTTTTTTGGAAAACATTATTTATTGTTTGATTTTCAATTTTTGTATTTGCGGCTGTTATTTGGTTTGGTTCTAATTTGCTGCACACAAAACACATATTTTTCCTTTGAAAAAAGTTCGTGCCAAAAATAATGAAGTAATTAAAAAAATCATGTACTCTTTTTACTTGGCACATATTTGTTGGTTTAATGCTTTTAATTTGATCTCTCATTTCCTCCAAGGTAAAAACGTTTTCTTATTTTATATTAAAATAGTGTTGAAATGAAATTAAATAAAAAATGACGTACCCAGGATTTTTTAGAAAATGACATTTAATGCTGAGAAAAGCGTTTTTGTCATAAACTTATATCCTAAGTTTTATTTAATATTCATAATTTTAAGTATGAAGCAATATTCCATTTGAAATGTTTATTATGAGCAAATTTGCAACTGATTAACAGAAATGTATTACAGTTTTTTCTGATGAGATTGTTTATTTTATGAAACTACATTAATAACTTAAATACTTAGTTTTAATAATATAAAATGATTTTTTTTAAATAAAAATAAACATAAAATAAAATTACAGCTTTTATAACATTACTTTCAAAACTTAATTTCTTAATCTATTTGAAAATATTTTGCATTTCTTTCATTTTTGTGTAATAATTTGTTTTTAAAAAGTTATCTCAACTCTGAATTTCTTCATTCTTACAGAAAATAAAACGGAAATATCACTCTGATGCAGTTATCAGCCTCTGTTGGAATAAACATACAAGGTAAAATGTAACAAAATAAATAATATAATTTAAAGTAATAAAGATGTGTATGTGAGACAAAGGTGACATTCAATTTTGTTACTTTGAAAAAAAAATTTTAATACAAACTTTTTGCTCACATAAAGTGAGTGTAATTATTCCAATTTTTCTGAAACTTTTTTTTCTCTTTCATTAAATATACATTCCTGAAATTGTTCTTCTTTTTTACTTCTTACTAAAGTTTGGACATTAATATATCAGTATTCTAGCTATTTATTAATTTTAGAAGTTTTTCTGAAATTAATGAACCAAATTTCTTTTTTTACATAATTGCTTCTAGTAATATAATCCAGTAATTAGAATTAAAATCATAATTATAATTAAAAATTTTACTTTTTTAAAAATTGAAATTTGTCATAATTTTTTTTTATTTCCCTTTGAAAATGAATTTTTTCTCCCACATAATTATATTTATGTAATATTTACAACTAGGCAATGCTATTATTAATTTCTGTGAGACTTTTAATTAGTTTTTATTCATTTGTTTATTTGAAATTATTGGTGATAATTAAGGTGTTAGAAAAAAAAGTGTCGATTATAAATCTTAAAGGATATTTAAAAACAAATGTGAGGTATGCATTTACATTATTACGAAGTTATCATTCTTCAGATTCTTTAGGATATTTTTTAAACAGGTTTTATGCAAAAATACTGTATAAATACTATAATAAAAATACTGTACCGTATCTTTAATACTAATCCTTACTATTTTATAGTTTTTTTTGTTGTAAAAAAATAGTTATAGTGTGTGTGTTTTTTCAGTAGCAGTAAAAAAGATTTTACATCTCAAAAACATAGATTGTTTGATTTGCATTAATATAGATATAATAAATAATAATAATTTTCAGTTTTTTACTATTTGCAGTTGATTTCACAGTTAAATAATATTTGTCATCTAAACTGAAAGTTTTAGAAAATATCAGTAGTATACATGGGTCCTAAGCACGTTCATTGTCTTTTAAAAACTGTGTAAAAATATGTTTTGGAACTTTTCAGAAATATTCTGGCCAGTGGTTCAGCCGACTCCTCTATTATTCTATGGGATCTTCAGGAAGGTAAACCACTAAAGAAACTTGACTTGCATGATAATAAAGTAATTTTCTTTCATTTATTTATTTTATAATTTACATTTATGATAAAATTTTTCGGGATTTTGGATTATTGTTGAAAAAATAATATGATTATTATTTTTTAAAATATAATTATTAGGATTAATTATGTGTTATATTGAATAGGTACAATCACTGCAGTGGCATCCTTTTGAGACTNGAATCGTTTTGGATCAGTTTTTAGACTAACAAGGCTGATATAATTGGATGCACGTTTTTTCCAAATTAGGGTAGTTAAAATTTCACTTCATGACTATAAGCCTAAATATACGTTTATTTATTTTATCTTTTCAAACTTAAAAAAACATATATTCGATAAAAAACATTCAATATATATATATATATATATATTGGCACAGAAATATTCGCTATGCTACGATCTCAAAGTTTCGAGTTGGAATGAATAACTTCAACGAGCACAGTATTTCCAATGGTATTGTTACTGATTTCTTCACTGGTCGAAATAGTGGCGACGACGGGTTCCGAAAGACAAGCGGCAGAGATAACTCTTAATCTGACTAACTAACTTTTATATAATTTTTCACTGCATCTCCAAAGTTCTCAAATTGTCTCAAAGACGACAGAACGTCTAGGATTCCAGAATCATCGCGTAAAGACCTCGCGAATGACACCCAGTTTCGAAAACTATACTGGCAGTACAGAAAGGAACCAGTCCATAACAGCATCACGTGAATTAGGTCTTAAAAGTACAACTCTATTATAGTAAATGTTTTTTCAGTATTCTGAGAAAAAAAAAGTAGGCATAAGGTAAATAAAAATATATATAAAAATATAAATAGCCCCTCCCTTGCGTACGCCACTGATTATTAGAATTAATTATGTGTTATATTGAATAGGTACAATCACTGCAGTGGCATCCTTTTGAGACTTCTTTCCTGTTGTCAGGAAGCACTGATGGGTAAGTAATAAAACATTAATATTTTATGCTGATTGTACTGTCGAATAATAATGATAATTATGTCTTGGGCATTTTTTATTTATTTTAGCAAGATAGAACTTTTCAAATCAGATTACATTTCCAAATCAGATTACATTTTTATTCGTTAGATTACATTTTCAAATCAGCAATAAATAAATATGACTGTTGTTTTCTATGAATAAATAACATATTTGAATGAATATATTAAACATTATAAAAAATGGGGTGCAAATAATTTATTTCCATAAATAAAAAGGATGTTGGGGAGACAAGAAAAAAAAATCTATTTTGTGCTATACTTAATGATCCTATGTTTTTAGGAATTTTAGCACTCTTTGGTATAAATTAAGTTTTATAGCTTAGCCTAAACAAAACTTGCAACTGTTTGAATTTTACAGACTCTCTTTATTAAATAATACATATTTATTAAAACCAAACTCAGTGGCACGACAACCCATAGAGGGCCTAGGCCTACTGTGCCCATCTCAGTTTTCTTGACCTTGGGCTCTGGGGTGCAGGAGTAGATGTTCCGGTCAGGTGGTCAGCCAAACACGGAACCCCTAGTGCTTAGCTCCCAAGCATGCTTGGTACTCATTTATCGCCCACTGAAGGGATGAAAGACTGAGTCAACCTTGCCCGACCCGAAGATCGAACCCAGGACCTGTGGCACGGGAACGCGAAGCGCTACCACTCAGGCACCGGGCGTCACATATTTATTAAACAAGTACTAAAAATAGAAAACAATAAAAAACTCCTTCTTGTGCATTTTTCCCCGTTTTAATCCTTTGGTGATTTCTTTCAACACTTTGAAATGTAGATATCTAATATTTTTAAAAGTTATTAATCTTGTTATCCGGTTGCCATAGCACCAAGAGAACTAGAAAAATACAGAAAATTTAAAAAGTCATAAAAAAAACAGTAAAAATGTTGGTAATTTCCTACTTTTTTTTTTAAACTGAAAAATACTGGGACTATTGCTTCAGTTTTTTTTCCATTGAAAGAAGAGCTGATCTCTTTAAACATTGAAAAAAATAAAAAGTGTAGCCATAGTTCACATCACAAAAGAAGAAAAAGTAGCCATCACAGCTGTTCAACTACGGAAGCTCTTCAATCAACAATTTCTTCGCGTTAGTTCTTTCTCCTTCCCCATGGAAATCCCACATAGGTAGTTACATAAATATGTGGCATTTCTTGATTTAACTCCAGTTTGCTGTATGGGTGAAGAACATAACTATAATTAATGTTTTAGTGGGAAACTGTAATAGCTACATTTAGTCCTGCTTTGATGTAGCAGTGTTGTAGTTTACAGTTGTTTTGCTGCTCATGTGTCAGTTTTTAAGTATCGTAAGAACAAGCTGCTCAAAATCCATATTTAATGCAGATTAATAGGGTTTTTTTTTAAATATTTTATAACTGTCCTTAAACAGCCGACCCAATTTTTGGTTTACGACAACTATTGTTCAACTCCGTAGCCTTGTAATTTTGAACTAATCCAGAAGACAAGGAAACTCCTGGATCAGTACCCCCAGAGGTATGATTTGTCATGAAAACATCGAGAACTTTGTGACTAGACAGATTTAACGTGCATCAGTCACCATTTACTATACGGGGGGAGTCTTCGGCCAGCGGGGATCAAACCCACAACTCTTAGACATGGGCCCACTGCCCTACCAACCAGTCTATCCCAGCCCAGAGATTGGCAGGATGAAAATATCTATCCAGATATCGTCAAATGGATGGCAGAAGCCCCAGACAATCTATTTCACTTTGCAAACGAATTATAAGCCTCAACAAAATGGGAAAACTGGCACTTACAATCTATGCAACTAGCGAAAGGTGCAATCAGTGGTGTACCATTTAACAGAAAACATCTATATGGAATTTTGTATTGAAAAAGTATGGAAATAAATAGTACTTCAACTCTGAGAATATCAACAAATCTATGTGAGATTGTAAATTAAACCGTTGCTAAGAAAAAGAAAATAAAAGTAATGACTGTAAAATCTATAGAAATTAATTCTCAAATATATGGGTTAGCCAAAAGAAAAGATTGTTAATTTTGCTTTGACATTATTTTTTTAAGTAACTTTAAATTTTTATTATGATAGCAAAATTGTTGCTTTTTATTTTTTTTCTTCAGATTTTTAAATTTTGTATGATTTGTTAGAGAGCTTAATGTAAGTTATGAATATTGTCATTCTCCCTTAACTTGTGTAGTGCATTTTCCGGCCTTGCTATATTCTAAGCATAAGTTCTTTTTTTTTCTTCTTTTGATTATTTAAATATTAACAATGAACATTCTGTAACCATAATATTTTTATTTCAAGTAGTGAAGTATTGAGGGAGTATTGTTTTCCTAAAAACAAGTGAACGCTGTGGTTGCGTGTTACTCCTAATATGCTTGCAGGGAAAGACAGCGCATGTATTTTTTTTTTCAGTTTTGAGCAATAACCCTGTATTATCTAACAGATACAAGAGCAAATTGTTTAATGGCCATCAGCTGCTGAACATTTTATATCTGGCACTTTCCACATTCTTCATGTGGCAAATTAAACTGACAACATTGGGTCCTTTTTTTTAAAAAAACTACTACAAGCATTCACTAGCTTATTAAGCCTCAGCCTTACATACCTTCGGTGGGTTGATAAAATGAGTACCAAGCAGGCTTGGGAACTTGGAGGAGGGGATCCTCGTTCGGTTGACCACCCAACCGGAACATCCTCTCCTGCACCTCAGAGCCCAAGGTCAAAGAAGCTGAGATGGGTACAGTAGGCCTTGGCTGTCGCGCCACTGACTATAGTTTAGTGAGTTATTTAACTAATTTCTTTCCATTGCTTTCATTTGCCTTCTTACTACTTTCATGTTTGAAATGGATTTGTTTAAGCCAGTTAAAATATTTTAAGTTGGAGTAATGTGTTATGCATTTGTTATTATGAAAGTATCAAGACTAGACTGAAGTATATTTTACAACAAACGACAAATTTATTTTATAAACTTATTCATTATCTGCTCTATAATCATTACTATTTTGTTATATGTTATTCTTCATTTTCCATTTCATTAGAGTTGTTAAATTGTTTGATTGTCGGACTCCTGATGCTGAATGCAAATCCTGGACATTTGATGGTGAAATAGAAAAAGTTGCTTGGAATCTCTCAAATCCATTAAAATTCCTGGTGAGTTTTATCATTTTGTAAAAAATTATTCAGCTGAAAGAATATTACTATTGTTTCAAGAGAAAAAATTGCAAATAAAAAAATTAGTGGTTCAGTTTCATAGCATTATTATTAAAGCATCAATAGGACTGTATAAAGACTTAAACTAACATTTAATGGGGGTTATTTTTATTAAATAACAAAAATTTATAACACGAATTTGTTGAAAAAACTTTAAGATATTTTTAATTTTTGCCTTGAATGGTTACGTTTTCACTTGCTCTTTTAGAAAGTTTTCAAGTATTTAATTGTATTGTTGTGATATTTTAATGTTGTTGTCGCATTTAATAAATACAATTTCTCTTGATATTTTAGTGTTCAAATGATCAAGGTTTTGTGCACAGCGTCGATATTCAAAGCAATAAAGTGGAACACAGCTTCAAAGCTCATGCAGATGCAGTAACAGGTAAAAAAAATTTTTTAATGCTTTGCTTTAAACCTTTGAATCTTATCAAATTATATAGTTTTCATGGCTTTGTTGAAAATTTTTTATTCAGCATCTTTTATCTTTCATTTTCAGTGATTAAGTTTTTAATACAGTGGAACCCCGATTTTACATCTTTTGCTTGACTGGCATTAAAAATTGCACAATTTGGGAAAACCTTAAAAAGGAGTAAAAATATATATATATAAGGATATTTTTCAAAAATGTGTAATATACCATTAGATTACCAAATGTGATACCATTAGAAAAATGTGTAACATTTACTCGTTTTATTTCAACAATATCTCAAACAATACTTACTGTTGTTTGCAAATCCGCTTTTTGGTTTACAAAAGCAAATAAATATTGGTATTAGCAAATAAAAAAAGTTTTGTGCTTTGAAACTTCTTCAATTGTGGCTATATCCTCCAGTATTTTACACTCATTTTTGTCGTTTTCATCATTATTATCGGGAGCTGGCATTAAATCAGACATCGAAGGATTTTTTAAAAAATGGGATGTCAATATACGTGTCATTGATTTTGGAAGATCTTCAGCCACGCAATTTTACCCTGAAGAGTCACAATGTTCTTGTTGGGTACTAAGGAGCCTGCTTTATTAAACCCGTTTGTAATGCATATTAGTCGACACTGTCCAATGCTGTAGAAATCAAATTCAGAGCATCCTGAACATTTAATTTTGCTTTAGAAGCATTTTGTAGCTCATCACAAGCAAGAAAAAGCAATGATTACCAAAGCAGTTTTAAATGATTGGATTATTCCAAGACTAAAAGATTGAAGTTAGATGGAAAAATTCCACTGGCCAATTTTACAATTTAAGCTCCTAAACTTCCTTTAACCATTCTTCTTGTGCTTTGCTCATCCTAACACTTTTCTGATTTTGTTGACTCAAGGGGTAAATTCTCTCTCACAGGCAAAAATACAATAAGATAGAATATCAGAACAGTTATTAAACAAATATCTTTTTTTTTAAAAAAAAAGAGAAAAAAGATTTTGGAAAAAGTTAGTGCGCGCTTTGTTAAGAAAATATGATTTTAATCTTTTAGAAAAACGTATTAAGGGAGACTTTTTTTAAAAGGTAATGTAAAATCCGGCGCAATTTAACATTATCCGTAAAGGCAAGTTTCACAGACCAGCAGAAATTGACGTTTAGTGTAGGCTAAGGGCAACTTTGATCCGGGATTCCACTGTATATAGTTGGAGGTTAGATTACTTTTGCCTAATGTATATGTTAAAAGAAAATTATAATAAATTTTTATTTTCAACAGTTAGTATGTTTGCTGACAGTTTTGTTCTTGGATATTTTTAAACTTATTGTCGTGAAATGATTGATACAAAGCTGCCAATTCTTTTTGATTTTCTAAAATATTTTGTTTTTATATTTTAAATAATAGTGAAAACTTATGCTTCTCTGATTCTTGGATTTATAAATTTTAATTTTGAATGATATTACTTACCTCTACAAATAAATAAATTAAAGATATATGTTAATGCCATGGGTGCAAGTTGGAAAAAAGGCCAAGACTGAAAGTTTTTTGACTGAAATACCTAACATACACAATACCCCCTCGACATATGCAAACTATCTAAGAAAACTTTACCATAATACATCAAGTTTAACAGGCATGAAAGTGGACAAAAATAAACAAAAACTGAACTTTTACAACGCAGGTCACTGGGAGGAGGGGGAGTGCTCTATATGATACTGAGATTTATAAAGCAACTTTTAACTATGCTGGGAGACTTTTATTCAATATTTAAAGTGGCAGAAGCATTTAGACAGCTAACTTTAAATTTTTCTTAAATATAATTTTAAAATTTTGACCACTAATATATTTAAAAAAATTAAGCAATTATAGGAAGGCGCGACTATTAAATTACTTACTAATGAAAATATATCACATCTTTACAGTAACTAATTCAAGAGAAAACTTACTTCTACTTCTTTCAAGAATCACGATATTGGGTTTTAAAATCGTGTGAATATGAATCTTGATATTGGATTTTAAAATCGCAGGAATATGAATCGCAATTTTGGATTTCAAAATGTTGTGAATATGAATCGCGATTTTAGATTTTAAAATCGCGTGAATGTGAATCGTGCTGTTGAATTTTAAAATCGCGTGAATATGAATCGTGCAGTTGGATTTTAAAAGCACGAAGATACAAATCACTATATTGGATTTTAAAATCGCGTGAATATGAATCACGATATTGGATTTTAAAATCGCGTGAATATGAATCGCGATTTTGGATTTTAAAAAAACGAAAATACAAATCACGACATTAGATTTTAAAATCGCGTGATTATGAATCGTGCGGTTGGATTTTAAAATCGCGTGAATATGAGTCGCGATTTTGGATTTTAAAAACACGAAAATACAAATTGCGATATTGAATTTTTAAATCGCGTAAATAAGAATCACGATGCATAATTTTTAGGCCACGTGAATACGAATCGCAGTGAGTAATTTTTAAATAGCGTACAAATACGAAAAACGATATCTGATATAACAACTGCGTGATAACGAATCGCAAAATTGGATTTAAAAATGCGTGAATACGAGTCGCGACGTTGGATTTTAAACTCACGAGAATACAAATCGCGATATTGGGTTTTAAACTCACGAGAATACAAATCGCGATATTGGGTTTTAAAAACGCTTAAATACAAATCGCGATATTGGATTTTTAAATTAAGTGAATAGGAATTGCTAGTACGATTTTTAAATCGCGTAAAAAAATTGCAACACGTAAGTTTTAAATCAGTTAAATACGAAAATCGATGATTGATATTAAAATCGTTTGATTAAAAATCGCGATTTTAGCAGACCGGTGCAGTTCCTAATATTTAAAATTCCGAAAATCAGCCACAAAAAAAAAAAAAAAAAATCAAATATTGGTGGTCGAAACGAAACGCTTAGATTCCTTTCCACTCTATAGCGGAAGTCGCGGTAACCCGACTATCGTTCGGGCGGTTTGGGTTTCTCCAATAGGACTTCCCAAAAATTTTAGTTTTTGGAACATAGTCGGAAAGTTTCAAAATTAGGAAGAAAAAAAAAGCGGATTTTCGCTTTTTCGCGGAAGTCTTTCATCCTTG